TATCGTTTGCGCTTTAAAACGCAAATTGGAATGACGACGCAAAATAATTGTGTGTAGACAAGAATCTGCAAATAAATCGACGATTTCTATCTTCGATAGCTATTTTCGTGACTCGATGCGACGTGCCCGCGTAAAGTCTGAAAAGAAATATAATCGATATAAAACAAAAGACTCTATTCTCGACTTTGCGCCCTACGTGCCGTATTGAACCTGATAAGTTAGGATCGTGTTTATTCTGCCTTATCGGTAACCTAGATCTACAATCTGCGGACTCGGCGCAACTTCTGGTATTCGCGGAAGCGGTCGGGTCTTTCGAACCGACTTGGGCTCGATCTCGGTTGAAATCGTATTCGTACGATTGCTGTTTGCCGACCGCAAAGTTTGACGTGTCGCGATCTAAGGAGCAAAGGATGAAGGGACTGAGGAGAAACGGGACGCGAATAACGACGACGATCGGATTTGCGAGTCCGTCGAACGCTCACCACGTTTGTTGAATCCAGCTGGAGCCCTTGAGACGACGCGGCCGAGATTAGTCTGTCTTCGGGTAAGCGCGTGCGCGCGCGTTCGCTCGCTCGCTCGCATAGAGTCGGTGAAGGGTTACCCGTATTTAATTAAACTGTTACTTCGCATTGATTGCCAAACTTGGGTCCTGGGCCGCTCGCTGCAGAGAAGATTATCGAAGTTCGCCGCGCTTCTACTCAGGCCATATCGAGAGGCTGCCAGGCAATCTCGCCAACTTCCAGCCACGCGATAGCGCCAACCTTCTTTGTCAGTCCCGCTTTATTACTACCTTCCGAGCGAGCCGATGCAGTTATCAGCATCCGTATCAGGAAAAAGTTGAAAAAAATTTCAAAGTTGAGAATGCAAGCACGGAACAGGCGGTTACCGCTTTCAACAGGTAAACTCTGTTCCGTAAATCTGTCAGTCAAGATAACAGCAGCGGTGCAAAAGTCGAGAAAATGTTTAAAAGATAATTATGTTAAAGCTAATTATTGCTGTCACCGTTGGAGAAGAAACAAACGAGAATTGATCACGCGCCGCGGAGTTTACATTCGCGCAGACGTTACTCCGAATAGAATAAAACTGGTTCCGCGGCCGATCTAGGTTGCTTACGACGATGTGTGTAATAGATACGCTGAATGGACGACAAACGATAATCGCGATAGCGGCACTGCAAGAAGCTAGTTAGTAGGAGTTCCGGTTTTGCATCGTGATAGTGACAGGGACGTAACAAACTGTTAACTAGCTCCTTGTGGTAAGTATCTGTGGCCGGGGAAAAGAAAAGTTCGGAATGCGGTGCTCGTCCCGCGCGATCACCCGCTGCAATGATTTGACGCGAGGTGAAGTAGCTGCAGCTGCAGTTTCCCGCAAGTTTGCGCGATGATCTTGGCAGGGATGTAATATCTAACCGGTAAGCGGTTTAGTGATACTTCGGGACAATGTACTTCAGTGAACGCTGGATAATCCACCGTGCATAACGCATCGTGTTAATACTGCTGACTATGCATGTGTTTCTCCAATATTGGAAGCAACGTACAAAGATCGCGCAATGAAAACTACTAATTATACATATATTTCAATTGTTCGAGCATAATTTTAAGAATCCACACCTCGCTGAATCTATAAAGATTCTCCAACTTTATCATGTTATTGGCAGTTGAGTTTAACTTTTGCAATCTTGAAGTAAGTTACTGTTGTGTTAATTTCACCCATCGTGGCAAGTGCAAAAGGGACGACATTTGTCATGTTCGTAACCCGCGTTATAATCTTGTCAGAAACATTGGTCGCGTGTAAGTGGTCTCGGAGCGATTGGTAGAGCCACGGGGGTAGCCGTTGTACCGTACGCGATAGAGAAGAGCCTTCCAGTGCATCCCTCCCCCCGCACCCTGTTGGCGCTACCCTGCTTGCTGAAATGCAAGACCGGCGTCTCCTGTCGATCGAGGGGTAGGCGAGCGCAAGCAAGAGGGAGTTTCATTTAAGTTAGAAATTGCTTCTTCCGTAGCGATGATGGGCCGCAAATTGGGCGCGAAACAGAACGCGAAGGAGAGGAGCCTCGAACGCGGACGAGATGACGAGAGGGCGCGACGGGACAAGGAGGAACGGCGGGACGCGTGAACGAAAGGACGTATCGATTTTTTATTTATGCGCCTGTCTACCTGGCGAAAATGCAGTCGGCGCGAATGGCGGGTGTAATTCGGAAAACAGTCGCGGTATCGCTGCCGGAGCGAGCCGCGCGGGTTTATCATCGTGAAGCAGCGATGAGACGTCGTCAGTTGCAGGATCAAACGAAGTGTTAACGAGCGCCTAACCCGCCGGAGCAGAACCGATCGTTACGGAGATATTCGCGATGATAGACGCTCGTTAATGCGAAACGACGCAGATGAAATCCGATATTCTATATGAGCAACAGAGGACATTTTTTTGTGTATCAAAGTGCCCAGTCATCGCGTTCTTCGATATAACGAGCTGTGATTATCCGAACGGCGACAAAAGCCCGCGTTGCTAAAGGGTATTTGATAAATCGTCATGCGCGATGCTATCGGCGATGTTAAGTGTAAAATACGTTGGTAAGACATGAAGGAGGGGTAACAACAAAAATAGTCGATAAAGTGTGATAAGAAATAGCTTTATTCATTTACAATTGCCGTGGCTCAGGCGTGCTTTGTTGAAGAAAAAGTCATACAACAGAGAAAGAGAGAGGGCATTACTTGTCTAAGAAATTTATAACACGTAGAGGAAGATTTTCGGAAGGAGCGGTGGAAGCTCTTCCTTCGTGTGAATATCGAAAATCGGAGAGACGACGGCGTGGATTAGAGAGCACGACCGGAATTTTGCGGCGAAATCCATTTCTGTGCCGGAACTATGACCGACCCAGGAGGGCTTTCAACCAGGACGAATGAATACCCCGAAGGGGGATTACTTCCGTCTCATTAACGTGGCTCGCGATTCCGCGCGCGGCGGAATTGAGAAATTCGTCACGCCCGCCACCCGTACACCAGCGAAAATCCTAATTCATTCGGCACTCGACGATGAAAACGGCGATTGCGCCGAACTGTTAATCAGAGAATGATGGTAACGTGGTTCGTTTTGTGGCAAATAATAATTTATTTCCATTATTTCTCGTCTATTTGTACCAAGAATGTTAAAGAGAAAAATTGACCATCAGCACCGTCGAAGACGCTAGTAATTGGCTTAGAGCTATACACGGAACAATGTAGCACCGCGACTGACAAAATTATCAACGCATGCTTTGACATAGAAATATCACGCATTCATAGACACGAAAGAGTTACCGTGTAATTAACAATTTAATTAATTAACGAAAAAATCGTTAGCTATCTATGTGCAGGACCACGCGAAAAGTATTTTTCGATTTTAGGTATTTTCCGAAATTCTTATAAAAATTGAAACAGCTTTAGAAAATATTTTTATATTAGACACGATATAATCACTTGGGCTTGTAGTGAATTCTTAAACAAGATCCCCCGCGAATATTAGGAGTTTTCTTATCATTCGGAGGCAAATGTCATCTTGGTATGATCGAAGGCGTCGCTATTAATCCGGGGATGCTTCATGGCGCACTGTGCAACGATAATGTAATCGTCTAATACGCTCCCCCGGATGACGCGATGATTTCCACTGTCATGCTAATCCGCGTAGCCCGTAATTGCGCGTTTATGCGCGCTCCAGAGCCGGATTGACCTCGAGCATTATGCGTCCAGGATGTGTCCCGGGTCTGTCATGGAGGGAGAAGGGGATGGCAGGAATTATTTGCTCGTGGAAGAATAGAAGCATACGTATGATGGATGGCGCCAGCGTGTTGTCACGTTGAGGGAATAGGTAGAGGCCGTCACGCTGGAGATTGAAATCCGCAAGTTTCTCCCGCTTTCCTTTTCATCCCGCTGAGGCGCGGAGTCGTCGCAGTCATTATGATTCAGCTGAAATCTTAATGGAGCATCGGGAATTGCGGTAGGATGTATATTACGAGTCTCGCTGGTCTCGCATTACGCCCAATAAAAGGGGCTGCTCCTCCAATCGTATCTTCTTTTTCCGGAAACGAAAGTCGCACCGGAGATTCGATGCCACGTCACGTGCGCTCGCTTTACTGCCGCGATACCGAATACGTCTCCATTATAACGCTTCTATCCGTTCGCGGGAGCATCTGTAGTTCTTCCGTCTTATGGCGTATATATTTAAGCGTCATCGAGAAATCGTCTTTATCATTCCGCCATCCGCGAATGGCTCTCCTGTTACGTGTGGTGTGCTGCGCCTGTTTTCTTTCTTTACTTTTTCGATCGGCCGATACAGTCGGTAGCGGTTGCGCGATGAATTGATTTACTCGTCTTACGCCGCACGACTGCAGTGATAAATACCTATCACGTGCAAGTGTCCGCTATGTTGAGTACAGAGTTGGCCGTAGCTAGCTGGTTTCCAGGTGGTACGCGTTGGATGAAGGTGGTGCAGGATGGGCTAGACGGGCTCCGAGATATGGTGTATACCTTCGGAGCGATACGTCATCCCTGACAAGCCAGCGTGCCGATAACCCCCCGTCTACGACAAACCCCGTGTGTGGCCTCACACCTCATCGCCGCAAGGGCCATCCATCATGTTTGAGTAATGTAGGGGAACGATTTCGCGTTATTGCGAATGACCGACTCTGTCGCACGTGTCCTTTTACCGTTCTGTCTCTTCACGTGGATTATCCTCAAAAGATTTGTTCCGTTAACGCGATGAACTGATACCATCGTGCTTTCACGGCGGCTTAACATTGCTTCTCGCGATTTCGCGATCGAAGATTAGTTGAGCAAACGGAAAGCGAAACAAAAAAAAAACGCGACATCCTTTTTGTCAGAATAAATCGCGACGCATTACTGTCAGCGCTCGGATAATTATTTCTTACTGACTGTGGATGGGATTTCTACTTGTTTTTATCGATGTACTCGTGGATCAATATGAAACGCCACGAATAAATGTATATAGAAATGGACGAATTTACTCACCGTTATGGACGAGCAGAGCAGAATCGCGAGCAACAGTGATAAGGTCACTGTCAGTGAGAGTTTCGTCAGATGCGTTACCGGAAGTCGGTGTGTCACTGAGGCCGGCACCACTGCCGGGCATATGATACAGGGGATGTTGTTGTTGCTGTTGCTGCTGTTGATAGGCGCGCTGCTTGTGTTGACTTGTGTTATAATGATTGTGGTGAGACTGGTTGGTTTGATGATTATTTTGCGGATAGGCACGACTACGCAAACTGGAGGTATTATCCTCACCCTCGCTGCCACTTAGACTGTAGGCCGGATAAAGCCGTCCCTTCCCTGAAACAAAGGTCGAAGTAACCCCGTTATACCTTCCAATGCTTTAGCTTAAAATGGTTGAAAAGCCTTCAATAATAATAAATTGCGTCGATTTCTACTGAAATTTAAAAAAAATTAATGGTATTGGCGAGGGGCATATATCAATTAATTTAGTTACGGATTCCAAATGTGCCAAAGAATCAGAGAGTAAAATTATGATTGTCAATCAGGAAATTTCCTAATTTACATTACGATATATTCTGATCGATATATATTTTATTATTTTATTATTTGATATAAAATTCCTATATATGACGCAACGAAAGTAGTCACGAAATATATCGTTGTTTAATTTCGGAGTTCGCTCTATCGTGGCACGAGATCTGACGGGGTTTGCGTTTGTCACAAAAAGAAGAAAATATCGCTGGTATCTCAGTGCAAGCTGTCGCAACATCGGAAAGAGATCGGCGCGACGGCCGAGGACGCAAGAACGTGCAACGCATTAGGAGACTCCGAGGATCTCACGAGGAGGAGGTGGGAAAACAATCCTAGCGTCACGCACACTTGCACAAATAGCGAAGAAACGCGAGACTTCCGCATCCTTCGACGCTACGCGGAGATCGTTCAAGGGGAAATATCCGGTACGGACGTCTTCCTTTTGGAACCTCGTGATCGGCCTCTATGATTTCATCGCTCCTACCGCACTCGAAGCGGTCCCGCGGGAACGACGTTCGCGTGACACCTTAATGCTTTTTTTTCCGGGACAATAATAGCGCGTAAACGCGGGCTTCCGACTATAAACGGAGGTGGCTAATCGGTCCCAGGAGCATGCTCCTAGTTGTCATCATTTTGGAAATGTCTCGGGAATGTGGGATCCTCCCGGGGTGCCAGATGCCGCCCGACGACGAGTGAGAAGGAAAACCGGTTTTCGGCGACGAGACGGAAAGGAGAGAGGGAGGTCGCGAGGACTGGTACGTTATGGAAAAAGCTGATGGCGCGACGACCCGCCTCGTTATGGCGATGCCTTCGGGATAAATCGCGCGAAAACTTTGATCGATGCCTCCCGCCTTTGACCTCTGACTCCTCGCGCGGCTTGTGCGGGGTCTTGCATCAGCGAGCCGTGCTATCGGGACATCGATATCGCCAAGTCGGTTTTCTTCCCTGAATCGGCGTCTTTGACACGCCGCTGGCCGATCGATCGACCTGTCGCCAAGAGTTACGTCGCGCCGTGGAAAAAAGAGGCAGAGGTTCGTTAGCATCTCGTTGAGAAGCGAGGGATGAGAAATCGTGTTTCTCGATAACCCTGCGCTTCCTCCGCGCCGAGACAAAATGGTTTATGGGTGGACGTGTATCAGTGTCCCGACGACGGAATCGATTATCGACAAGTCCGTGGACGCTGAAGAGAGAGAGAGAGAGAGAGAGAGAGAGAGAGAGAGAGAGATCGGATGGAAATTGCAATTCGATTAACCCTTGATTTGATTGCGTGTCCGATATGAAGCGCACAGAGTTGTATCTTTTTAATTATTTTAAATTAAGCAGTGCAGTTACACAGTCGCCTTCTCGCTGTGGCATTCCGACGGATTGATAAATATCGTTTCTGTTTATCTTCGACGTTGCAATCATCGGCTCCTTTCTGTTGAGCCACGGATTTGAATACAATATGGCTTTGCTCGGAGGCCCTTCTCTGTGTGATGGATGAAGTTACAGCGAAATGCAAATGTTATTAGTGGTATCTATCGGTAGCGCGTAATTCGACATTCAATTATGGTTTGCGCCGTATCGGACATAATGCATCGCGTGCTCATCACGATCTATATATACGCCACCCTCGTGTGTACAAATAATCTTCTGACGCGGTGTGGACGCGCATAAAGGAGATTCTATTCGGCAGCATTGTTAAAAGCAAAAAAGGTACCGTTACCAATCACGACGCGGCGGTTAGAGGGGTCCATTATAATTAGGTTTGACCGTGCATACCGTTAATGGACACAATATACGGAGCTGCGTAACAACGCGACTCATCGCTAACCGAATTATTCCGTCGCTCCCTCCGTCTATCTTGCGCCCCTTCTCTCTCTCTCTCCCTCCCTCCATTTCCGTCGCTGCTTCCTCCTTTTCCTCTCCTGTCCCATTGTTTACTTTTGTCCGTCCATCCTCCAAACGGCCCCAGGCTAAACAAACTTACGGGGTTTTAACAGTTAACAAGCTTAGTGATTTTGTAATTGGGTTACTGCAGTCTGCCGCGGATGGAAATGGTAAAAATTCTTATCCCGACGTGACAGGTTCGGCTACAACGGCCGGACGAGCGATTATAAGGTCCTCGATACGTTTTACTACATATCGAATAAACCATATGTAAACACGTGCTTCCACCGGGCAAACGACGTCCGCATATTACGCGCGACATTAAACCGCGCATCCGAGAGAATAACCCTGATATAAACCTTACACGCGTTCGCATACCACGCGTCGCAAGTAGCAAAGAATATCTTTCGGTGCTTTGAATTTTACAGCACACCGAACATGTCGCAAATAAATTTGTAATGTCACGGTATGTTATATACGAGAGACCGAGCGCGTCACACATCACGCAAACACATCGAGAAACAGTCGTCGATATTAAAAAAATGACACCGTGAAATTTTGTTGCGAATTACGCAAAGAATAATCGTTTGTCAAATTAGTTTCAGCGGGAACGCGCGAAAGAAAGAGACAAAACGTATATAAAAATTAAATTTATTATGATGTATTCAATAATATTATTACGTTTCCTTTGAAATGCGCGCGATTTCAGGCGCCTTTATTGAAAGGGAACGGATTGAGATTGTGAGTCTGTACCGTGACAAAATGTGAGAAGGGAAATCTAGAGACGCGGCGTGAAACGATCCCGTATACGCGGGTACTCGCTTAAACATTTTCTATTTTCCTGCGGTAAGTGAGATTCTCTTCGAATTTCACGTATCCATAATACATTATCGGGTTACCATGGGGGAGCATTGTGGCCACCATAGAGACTCCGTTCGTATATCGAGTACTCGTATGCGCGCATGTATACGAAAGCTTGTAAATTTCTTCGTAACCTTCAACGCGGATTAGGTTAACCCCTATAATATCACCATAATTCCCGTGTTACCGCAACTAAACGCGCGTGTGTGTTACGTACACGGTAATCTATACTCTCATAAATATAATGCATATGTACCACGTTGCATGGAATTTATTATGTGTGGCGAAGAAACGATAATTCTGTGAAGATGCACGGGTTTGCAAATCTCGTCAGTTTACGAATAGTGAATTAATCGCGAGTAAGTATCGTCCTTTCTCGCTGTCTCTTTCCCTTTACGTGTCAGCATGAAAATTCGACGTGACACACGATGAAATCGACGCGCCTCTGCGACATCCGACTTTGCAGCAGGTTCAATTTCGTGCGCGGTATGTCGCTTGTTTTATACATTTGAGCATGCAGGTGGATAATATTCCGCAACAAAATATCGTGACGTAACGTTACGACGTTCCGACACGCACAGATAACGGACTTATAAAATATCTTCCGGTAACGAGAACGGTGAACTTTTCATTGTCGTGCTAGTTATGAGGTATGGTTTTCCTATCAGTTACATTGTATTAATATTTGTACGATGTGATCGCAACTACCGCCAAAAGTATAAATACACGAGTAGATAGCATACTTGCAAAACTAGAACAATAAATGTATACAGGATGTAATTATCGTATATCACTTCTCGTGAACAGATAGAGCGGATTAAAGTGACTAGAAAAAGTCTTTTACCGTTTGGCGAGTTTCTCAACAAATAATGAGAAATTATTTAATAAAGATTTGCGAATGAGCGTGCATTTGCGTGATTCATCGACAAAAGACACCCAGTGTTAAGTATCATTTATTATTGCTAGATGCCCGTTTGTCCGAAAGCCTTGCCACGCGCATAGCAACTGTCGTATATGACGCAGGGTTGGTTCTTCTTATTAAATCGCGCGGACGTACACTGATTTATGGACCTTTATTAAGCAATTCTTCATTAATTATTAAAAAAGTCGCAAAATATAGTACATAACTTTTCTATTTAGTTTAATTTGGTCTACTTACAGATGGCACGGTAATTACCAGACACTATGCATAATGTATATGACCTGTTAGATTATTCACGTGCCATTTAACGACATGATTTAATTATTTCATTAGTTAATTATCGTTAATTCGTAGATGTAGTAGACAGCAACATGAATTTATTATTCAAACGTATCGTCTCTGTATTATCAGTGAATTTAGAACTTGTGCAGACTGCGCTACATGAATTGGTTTATCAAATCTATCGCGCCGTAATTGTATTTTTATTACTGTGCATATCAATCTGCATTTTTATCAATCAATCATTGAGGCTCCTCGTTCAAGTAATATCGATTGTTGTTGCTCGATTAATTTTGTCTTTAGTCAATAACAAGTTGTTTTATTAATAGCAGATTTTAATTTTACGTGTAAATTGTTTCTTTCTAATATAAATAGGTAATTCCTGGTGAGAAGTAAAACTGTGTGATTGTAATAAAGTAAGAAAAACGAGTTATCACACATTTTCCGATTTCAATTCCTCGTTTCATTAAAATCACTAGAAAAATCCTTTGGTTAAAATCACAGAATATTCTATTTCACTCGAAACATGAAAATCTAACGAAGAGCGATAGCAATGAAATTTATAGTTATAAATATTTTTTCGATGAAAATGAGCTAAAATTTATCATTTATCAAACAGACGATCTAGATATTCATATAAATTTTTTAATTACAGTAATTTAATATGCGAGAAACAGAATATTGAGCGTTTTTGTTTTACAGTACATTAACTGTTTTATAGATAACGAATCGATTGGCACGCGGCCTTGATACTTGTTTTTGTCTCGTCGCGTTTTTGTGTCGGCAAGGTCACCGCCCTGTGATTCGCGCAACGACCTTGCCCGAACAAACGGGTCACGTTGCGAGTAGCTCACTGTATCGTTGCATTACTCCT